GCTAATAGCGGACTTGGGAAATCAAAATAAAACTAGTGATAACAAGGCGCTCTGATTGTTTTTGTTGTAGAATATGATTGGGGATATATTCACACGTTATAGAAACTAAAATTATGGTGCATAAAATTGATTTTAAGATAAAAAAATAGACGATAAAGAATTAACTTGACGGAGCTCAAACTCAAAACACACTGCAGCAACAAACAGGAAGTGACGTCTTGTTTTGCATTTATTATTATTATTGATATTTTCTTATTCCTTTACAGAAATTCTCTCCATTCCCTGGTTGACCAAAGCAGTGAAGGTGGTTCTCAACCGAAGAGGCGGCGGTCACTCAGTCCAGAGGTCCATGAACGGATTGCAGCAGAAGTGAGTTTTTATTGCAGTCAAAATAAACCATTACCAACAAGTTAAACCGCATTGTTTATTTACCTTCTATGGGTACCTGTAAATGTCTTCTCATGTCTTTTGATTTTATTAAAATTTTGCTTAAGTATTGTAGCAAAGAGTAGATCCTTAAGATAAAGAAACATTTAAATATAAATAATAATAATAAATTTGCCCATTGGTTTTGATAACTTTACTATGAGAGGATTACTATTCCTTGTTTGTGGGATCAATGTGAGGAGCAATAATATGGTAGTCACCAAAGACTTTTACAATTACCCACAGAAGGTAAATGAAACAATGCAGTTTAATTTGTTGCAAATTAATTTGTTGCAAGCACAATGGCTTGTGTAGATGATACAGTTATACAATGACCATGTCTCTTTTCAAATAAGAGTCTTTAAGTGTCTCATTATAGAAGCATTATATAAAAAAAGTTAATAAGTATTTTGGAGATCAGTTTTGTTGATTATAAGCTGATTACATTGGGCTTTATGAAACTATAATAAATGTATATGCATTTTTTATATACTGCAAGGCTATCTTTTTAACCATTTACACAGTCTTTAAACTGATCTAAAAGTAGGCCTGTCTCGATAATTAAATAACCGTCTAACCGCGATTATTTGATCTAACCGCGGTTGTTTCAGACAACCGCGATTATTGTGCTTTTTATACAAGACAAGGGGGAGTCATACCAGCCAAATTTCATAATCGTGACAACCCTATCTAAAAGGATTTGTTATTATTTGGTTTCCTCTTGTGGACAACATTAGTATTACAGCCTTCATCTCTGAATTTGATTAAAATAAATGGCTGGTGTTTTAAAAATTGCTGTTAGCGCCCTGAGCATCAGAAGTTCATGAAGCTTGACATGTCTTGAGGAAGTCTTTTCAGAGACTGTAACTCTCCTAAAGATTCTTGTAACCACACCCATGACCACAGCAGAAGCTGAGAGGTGCTTCTCAACCTTGAAAAGAATTAAAACTTACCTGAGAAATAACATGACCCAAGAGAGGCTGAATGCATTGGCCATGCTGTCAATGGAGAAGAGACTGGTGACTGAGATGACTGACTTTAACCAGGTCATTGAGAAATTTGCAAGCCAGAAAGAGAGGAGAGCAAAATTTATTTTCAAGTAGTGCTACTGGCCAGTGATTAGGCAACATTTCTGTGTTTATTTTATTTTTTTATGATTTTCTTGATTACTTCATTGCTGATAATAAACCCAAATTGAACTAAAATTAACTGATTTGTGGTATGTTTATTGCATGCTTTAACAGTCGTATTTTCATTTTTATTTTTTTTAGCTAAGCAGTAATGATACATCCTCACCTGATAAATGGCTTTTACATTCCTACAGTTACTAACAGTTTGATTTTCAGTTGTTTGCGCCCCCCAAAAAATGTTTAGCACCAGCCGCCACTGTTTGGACTGCTGTGTGTGTATTTGAGTGCTGGGAACTGGTCGCAGCGTGCGCGAGAGAAAGCACTTCTATCAGCGCGATTCCGCCTAGCCTTCAGTAACTTTTAAGTTAATCGACAACGAATTGTGACTCCCGGGAAAAACGTCTGGTCACCTTATCCCTACCCTTTCGGGTGCTAAGGCCATTGTTTCAGATCGTTAGTTCGCATTTTGGTAGTCTATCCATCCACTGCGGCTGCCATACTGAGACTAGATCACAGTCTATGAACGTATGGCGCTTTTCCACTGCGTGGTACGACTCGGCTCGGCACGGCTCAGTACGGTACGACACGGCACGGCTCGGCTCGGTTTGCGTTTCCACTGCAGTTCAGTACCGCTTTAGAGTGGGCGGGATTATTCACATGTCGTTATAGTTTTTCATTCCGCGTCGCCCCATCAAGCTCTTGCTGGATCCGCTCCTCTGCTATCATCGAGAGGAACGTCTGTACTTCCTCAACAGACAACGAAACAGCCACTTTTTGGTTGTTAAAAAAAGGTGCGCTTGTTCAAAACAGTTGCGTTCGATCCTTCGCTGGCTGTGCTGATTTAAATCTAGCGGTTCTGTTGTGTTTGTGTCGCAAGTTCAGTGACGCAGGTAGTGACGATTCTCTCCGGCCAATCCGTGATCAGCAGAGTTTACACGTCACGTTTTGGTAACGATACGGTTCACTTGGAACC